CCAATGCAAAAGGAAAAAGAGTTGTGTAACTTTTATATTCTGCTAATGTAACCTGTAATATATTTGCTTCCAAAACATTTGGAAAGCAACAACAGTCTAGGTCACGCCTAATTATTTGTAAATATTTTGTGCATAGTTCAGATGAATCTCTGCTCTTTGTAGACTAGAGACCCATGTTTGTCTGTCACCTCCGACTCATCGATGATATTCCTCAGCTTCACCTGTTATGTGACTGTGGACTGTGCATCTGTTAATTTGATTTACCAGTATATTTTTACAATATTTGCCTTATGTCCTCACTAGCTGTGTAATTCAATATAAAGAAATCCAGAACTATTATAATTTGCTGACTAAATGACACATGTAAAACACCAGGCACATAAGGCATATAATAATCACTCAATAAATGCTAGTTAAAACCTGATTCTGACTCTTCTATTATATTGAAAATGATTGCTTTTAGTCAATTTGATAATTTGAAAGTCTCCCTCTCAAATATAAATTGGTATGGGTGTCTTCTTTTTAAAATCTTCTGTGGGTGTGGGCATAGAATTTATCCTCTGCACTATTTTGTTTTCAAGGGATTTTCTTTTTTATTTCTTTAGATGTACTTATATTATTTCGTGTGTTTGAGTTTTGCCTGGTGCCCACAGAGGAAGGAAGAGGTTGTTGGATCCCCTGGAACTGGAGTTATGGATGGTTGTGACCAAACTCAGGTCTTCTGCAAGAGCAGCCAGTGTTGTTAACTGCTGAGCCATCTCTCCATCATCCAGAGTTTTCTTCCTTAAAAAAAATTTTTTTTTAATATTTTTATTTGTGTGTGTGCGCGCGCGCACGCGCGTGTGTGTGTGTGTGTGTGTGTGTGTGTGTGTGCATATGCACAGGTGCACACCTGCCTGTCTGTATTTGTGGTATGCAGTACCCATACAGGTCAGAAGACGGTACTGGATACAGTGGAGCTGAAGTAACAGAGGCACAATGCAGATCCTGGAAACTGAACCTGGGTCCTCTGCAAGAACAGCAAGTGGTTTTAACCACTGAGCCATCTCCCCAGCACCATGTAAAAGCATTTTCAATGGCCTCTCAGGTTTGCTATAGAAATGATAGAAATATATATATAGAGAGAATATAGTAAATATGAGATGATCTCTTCCCTTTATCCTCTCTTAGGGTTACTGTATCCAACAAGCAACAAACCCTTAAAAGAACATAGACATCTGCTGGTACATAGTTAGGATTTTATTAGCTGTAAACAAGAGACACTCAATTCAAATGTGTGTCTTTTTGTTATATGTTATATATTAATATATTATTTTATTTATAATAATAAAATCATTTATATTAGTATATAATAATTAATATATAATTGATTATATTATAGAATAAATGTACAATATATTATATAAATATACATGTAATTAATGTGTTGTTAATATAGTTATTTATAATTAATGTATAATTATTTATATTAGCATATAACAAAACATACTAGTGATTATATATTATAAAATTAATAGATAACATGTACTATATCATTATATTATATAATATATAATTAACAATATATTATTAATAGAATTTATAATCAATATACCCATATCAATATGCTATATACTAATATGTTGAACTTATTAGCAGATTAGTAAATATGTTAAGAGAACATATTTATTACAGATTCATACACTAAAACTTGAGGTGCAGTTGACTTCAGATTTGGCTCTATCTAGGGACCCAAAGTGTCAACAGGATTTTTCCTCTTCATTGATCTCACACCTATGCCTGCTTCTGAGATTGACAGTCCTCTCCTTCGTGTAGTCTTAGGCAACGGTCACCTCCTCCAGGTAGCAGCTCTCCTCAGAATGTGCAGGATCTTGTGTGTCTATCAGTGGGGACTTCGCCAGTGTCCCAGCTCATGAAGCAAGCGCCACAGGGTGTCTTCAGGTCTAAGTCAGCCCGCTGCGCTTTCAGAATGGGTAGTGGCAGCCGCCACGGGGTCCCAGCCCCGTCAGTTTGTGCCTTGGTGACCCAAGCTGTGTGGCCCTTCTCTGTGGACTGACTGGATAGTGCTCGAGATGGAGTCAGCCGGAGAAACCATTAGCACACAGCAGCCCGGAGGGGGTCAT